GATTAATTTTTATACTGCAAGTAAGAAAATATAAATGCACAGTGGCCATAGGCAAGGAAGATATTCTTGGCAGATTTCATTAAGGACAAATAATTTCCATTATTTTCCGTGGATTTCTCAAAACCTCTTCTATTTTCTGTGTCAGTTATCCTGCGTCTTTTTATCATAGTTCCTCATCCTCTCTGAATATGAATTCATATGAGGTAGCACATTACAAAGAGCACTAAATAAAAAAATCTGCAAGCTGCATTTCTAAGACTAGATTCTTCTTGATAATCAGAGTTGAACTTGGGCAGGTGACTTGGTCTCCAGACATATCACATCTATTTCCATAAAATGCCTGCATCTCCCACTTGAGACAGTTATTTTAAAAATAAAAAAAGATAAAATATTTAAAACACTTTTTATCCTAAATTTTTTAGTTGCCTGAATTTGTATGGAGATCAAGCCTCCATAACTGTTTTCTGACAAGAGAAACATCCTCTCCTCTTATGTGATTCATTCCTTATAAGATGAACCAGAGTGATAATCTCCTGCAAGAAGATTTCACAGATACCCACACATACTGTTTGCTTTACCGTGGTTCCTTTTATGTTAGATCACAATCCAATTTAATTTAAATTTTCAGTCTCCATCATGATGATGCAAAGTCTTGTTTGCCAGGACTAAAACCTAGGAAATCTTTGAATTTTCAAACATAGTGCTGCCCAGCAAATGTTTCTTGGATGAATACACTTTGAATAACATCTCAGACTTAACTACTTAGGAAGTTTGGTTCAGTGATCTGATTTGCAAATTGGGGAAAATGTGTTACAGTTTCATAAAATTGACGGTGGTGGAAGTTGAATCTGAGAGTTGGTAGAAAGCTCAAGGCATATTTATGAGAACATCCTGCCTCCAGAAGGTATTTCTTCTTCTATTTTGTTCTATAAATATGATAGAATATTTCTCAGGAATGATAGTAAAAAATTTAAGAGTGGACATAGGATCTGCTTTGTATAAAGACAGGCTTCGCTTGGTAATTTATTTTTTCTTAAATTTCTCCCTAATCCTGTCTCAATATGCTAATCTCCCTCATTCCTTCATCAAGTCTGCTTTAGAATTGTTTTATATATATAATAGCCTCCCACTCTGGAGAGGTGACTAAACTTTAATGCTTGCCTAAGGTCCTCTCTGCATCCATTTATTCAAAGGCACAGAAATATGAGAATAAAATAGGTCATAAAGATAAAATACATTATTAAATGGCATTATTGTCATTGTTATTATTCTCTCATCGAACAAGGAAATGAATAGCTGAATTGCACACCATATGGTAATTGCTTGGAAGATAACTGCAACTTACGGTCGCACCTTCAGCATCCAGTGACATTGTTTGCTGCGTTTCAGGTGCCAGTGTGGCAGAGGGCCAGCCCAGGAAAGATGAACTGGCAGAGAGAGAATGACAGACATTAGGCGTAAGTACTTTTCATGTCAAGTCTTTGGCATGCTCATTGTCGAAAAAATCTGTTCTCAGAAATGCCTTCCAAAATGTGCAAGTTATGCCATGAAAGCACATGATGACTTCTGCTATCCAGGGATACGTTAATATGAACCATCCTGGGAGATGCCAAATCATAGTCATGATAATGGGTGAATCCAGATGTCTGTCCAGTCCCACTTCTAGTGTACAAGGGAAGTTTAGAAACTAAATAAAGAAAGTTCTGGTAGCATTTTTTTTATGCACAATAACTTTCTCCTCCAGAATTGAACCTTTAATATTCTAGTATGTACCACTCTCCATTTTCAGGATCTATATTTTACATCAGAGATTTGAATGATCTCTCTTCTCCTAAAATAAGATGGTGAACTTTTTCAAAGCTATCATGGGTGAGATTTCTACTCTGGATGTTTAAAAATACATTATATTTGAATAGTGTTGTTCAGTTTATGTCATTTCATACATTACAAGATTTATTTTATTCAAAGGCACCGAAATAACAACATCATGAGATTAATATCATTTATCATTTTTTCCAGATAAAACTTTCAAGAAAACAGAGAAATGACTTGACTAAAGTCACTTAATGGGATTATGATAGGAATAGGACAAAAACTTATTTCATTTTGTAAGTCAAATACCTCTGGTACTTTTGACGGTTATTGAACTATCTTTTTTTCCAATTTTCTTTGGGAAACTAGGTTGGTCACTCTGATATTAGGTTTTCAAAAAGTATTTCACATGTAGAAATCTGACAAATGATGTGCACTTTATAAATTATAAATAGATTTATTGGCTCATGCTATAGCAGATTGATTGCTAGGGGGAAAAAAAGATAAGAATGATTCTCCCGTATTTCAAAAGTGAAAAGATTTAACTCTGTAAAAATGCTCAAAGGCATACAGCATGCCTACAACGCCACTAGTTCTCCAGCTGATATCTTTGACGTAGTTCACAAGCCTGCCTTAAAAGAATCAACAAATCAAACTCTTCTGTACAGTGAGCTAGCCTTTCAAGATGGAATGGAACCTTAAATGTGGAAATGCTCTTGGAATTTATTCAGAACAGTGGAGATCTCAATCCAAAAGCACAGCTGAATATTCATGGAGCGTTTTTATTTATCCAAACTTATCCTTGAGAAAACACAATTTTGGAATGATCACCATAATATCTTGGACAGAAAAATCATCTTATATATAAATGTTTGCTTCTGTCATAGCTGTTGCTGTGTTATATGTACACACAAATACACACATAAATATGCACAGACGAGATTAAGAGCACATGTAGGGATCTAATTGTATTTTTTGAATCTTTCACTGTATCTTGGCTATGAAGACTTTCTTCATGAAGAAAGAAGAAGTAAAATATCCTTGTAGCTGAAGTTATTACTGAATTTCCACCATAATCTATATCCTGACCTGGGAATTGCAGTTACGAAGAAAAATAATAATAAAACATGACTCTTAAGATTTGTGCATCTTGGGCCTCAGAACATGATATTGTCATATATGGCACCTTTGCATTTGAGAAAACTACAGAAGCATACCAGTCATTTGACCTCTTTCTTTCCCTCTCTCTCTCTCTCTCTCTCTCTCTCTCTCTCTTTATTGCCAGGAATTGAAACCAAGGATGTTTTACCACTGAGCTATATCCCCAGTCCTTTTAGTTTATTTTTTAAATTTTGAGATAGGATCTCCCTAAGTTGTCTAAGCTGCCCTCAAATGTGTGATCCTCATATCCCAGCCTCCCAATTAGATGGGATTATAGGTGTGCATCATCCCCACCTGTGTTTCTGTGTGAGAGCTATCTGTACCATAATTCTCTGACCTACCTCACTTGACGGTAGACCTATATTCCATAGGCCCTGCCTATAAGTAGAGGCCAAGAGCAATCTAAGTAAGCAGGCCTTTCGGGGTTCCTCTCTCCACCTCTGTCAAAGTTCTAACCATTTGATTATCCACTTTTTTTTTACAATAATACTTCAAAAAATTTTCCATTCCTCATTAAAGTTGAGCGGAAAAATTGGCAATTTCTCTTGGTTCTTGAAAGGGAAGTCTCTTGTGTCATGTAAAACCTTGGTAAAATACATGTGTTATGTTGTCTCTTGCTAATCTTTTTTTTTTTTTAAGGGCATCAGTCATGACCCTTGTGATGGATGAGGAAAAGAAAGGTATTGTTTTCTCTCCCTTACGTACATTTTAGCAAGAAGCATCAAGACCTGCCATAAGAAACACAGAACAGGAGTGCATGCTGAATAGGACACTTCAGGTATTTGAATAAATATGAGCTTAACGGATTCATTATTGACCACACATGTGTACAAATGGCCCCTGGCAAATCTCTGAGTACAGACACAAGATGCCCTCCAGCCTCTTGGCCTTTGGAATTGCAAGAGCTATTCAATAGCTATTTGCCGGGTAAAGAGAAGCCCAGAGGGATAGAACTCTCGGGTCTCTCAGAGAAGCCTTTCTTCCTTTGTGCTTTGCTGTGAACAAAATTGTGACCTATAAAATTCATCTGTTGATACCCTAACCCCAAGGGCAACTGCATTTTGATGCAGGGCCTATGAGAAAGTTACTAAGGTTAAATGAAGTTGGTCCCTGATACAGTAGGCTCAGTAGCCTTAGAAGAGGAGCACTCACAAGCTCTCTCGGTCACTCTCCACCATGTGAAGACGCAGCAAGAAGGCAGCCATCTGTAAAATATGAAGAGAACACTCACCAGGAACCAAATCTGCTAGTTAATCTTATACTTCCCAACCTCCTGAACTGTAAAAAAAAAAAAAAAAAGTCTGTTGTTTTAAACATTCTTTGTATATTTTTATGACATCAAGCTGACTAAGGGGACACAAATGGTATGAGAATCTCAATGACAGAACTCTCCTTTATTTACTCTAATCCAGTTACGTACACTTTTTGGTTTTGCTCAGATGACCCAGGAAAACTCTTTCTTCAAGCCTTTAGGTTTGCTATTATCTCTCATTACACACACAATTCGTTCCCCCAACTTCTTCAGGTCATTCTTCAAATGGAACTGTATTAGCCAGATTTGTATTACTACAACAAAATACCTGAGGTAGCTAACTTATCAAGATAAAAGGTTACTTCTGTTCACAATGTTGTTGGTTTAAAGTCCAAGAGTAGGTGATTCCACTGCTTTGGCCTCTGACAAGGTTGGTGTATGGTTACAAACCCTAGTGGGAATATGTGTGAGAACAAACAGTCAGAACATGGACAGGAGTAAAGAGAAAAAGGAAAGTCACGAACAAACCTGCTCCCTTTATAGCAATCTCCTTTTGAGAACCCAGTAGAGTACATGTGAACTACTCCATATTCCCCATTGCACCTGTTCACATTTCCTTTCCTTTGCTGCTTTCCTCATCAGACTAAAAATTTTCTAAATCTTTCTGCTTGTTTCCTTGTCTTTGTAAATTTGACTAAAACCAGTTATTATCACCCATGTCACAATGTGAATACTTTTCTGTGTGAATTTTGTGTTAAGTAGACTAGCCCATCACCTTTAAGTTTATTCTTCCACAAGGTCTTAGGCCATGGACGCAATGTAGGCAAGTTCTTTGGCACAGTGTGTTAAGAGTGGTCTTTCATCCAATAGAATCCTCATTTGTGGCTGAGAACTGGTCAACATGGTCCTTTCTATCCACATTTCTATCAAAAGTTCCGTCCTCTGAGTACTCACCATCGTTGCCCATAGCACCCTGATCACAGAATTCTAGACTTTTTCTACCCACTCCTCCAAACTCACCCAATCTTCTCCTGTAAATCAATTTCAATGACTCCTACATATATTAAGTTATAGTTATGAGTAATTAACCCCACTCTTCAGAACCAAATTTTTGTATTAGACAACATTGCTTCATTATAATAAAATACTTGAGGTAGCTAAAGTTATAAAAATAAAAGGTTGATTTAGTTCACAGTTCTGCAGGTTCAAAGCCATGGCATCTGCATTGGCCCCGACTCCTGGCTGTAGTCACATTATGGCAGCAGTATGTGTGTGTGGAAAAGTCCATGCCATTAAACAGAAAGCTAGAAACATGGGTCCCACAATTCCTTCTGATACCACATGCCCAATGACCCAAGGACTTCCCCCAAGCTCTACTTTCCAAAGGTTCTACCCCCTCCTAATGGCACTATCCTGGGGCTGATTCCTCAATCATAATGGGCTCTTGAGGAAAATAATTGAACAAGTAAACCACATTCCAACCATAACATACACCTTCCTAAGGTGGAAGTCACAGACTGCCTTAAATTCCAATCTCTTTCAATATTCCCTACCTATTTTTCCTGCTTTCCCTCTTTATATTCGTACCCAACTTGCATACTATATATATTACTTGTGAACTGAATGCATTTACTTGATAGAAATATCAAAATAGCAAGATTATTGATTTTCTATTGTTATATTTTCAATATGTGACACCTTATAGATGCCCAATCAGTATGGACCACATTGGATATAATATTCCCACAGAGCTTACACAGTTCATAAGGGGTACAGAGAGGCTGGTAAGGGATAGAATTCAATGGACCAACGGCAAGGATAAGATGGGATGCAATAATAACTCCTTGATTCAAAAGTCATTTCTTGATCCTTCACTGCATTGCTGGTAATGGGTGGAATGACTTTAAAAGACTGTGATTCCAGAGGAAGGGGAATTAAAAAAAATGAAGACAGAAGAGAAAGCACTAAAAATAAACCATGAAATGAGGGTAATATTATTATTAACATATAATTATGATATATCATATTAATATTATTATCTGCTCTCATCACTATAGTCACAAAAATCAACCAGATAATCATCCTTTGCAATTATGATGTTTATAATTGTATTAAAGAATATGTTTGGATCAGAATGGGAAAGGAAAGGAAAGATGGAAAGAATGAAAAAGAAAATTATTTGGGGGTCATCTAGCAAGTATACATTCATTTCCTGATACTTATGCAAAACCAGAGCTAAAGCTACAAGAAGATATGTTGCAGTGGGAGGAACAAGGAAAGAGAAAAGAAAACTATGTAGACTAAGAGACAAAATGACCAGTCAAAATTAATATAATAAGGCCATAGAAACCAAGAGCAAACTAAACATCTTGGATATCAAGTTACCAACCATGTTTTTCTCCAAATGCAACTCAGGAAGGACAACTTCTAGAGAGGAAAGCAACTTTAGGAACGAGGAGTGGATGTTTTCAGCATTTCACCGTATTTGCTTTCGAGGTATAAATTAGGATTAGCATAAAGACCATACACTCTCCTTCTCCATGATATATGTTTGTTGTTATTATTTCAATCCTTGTCCTTCTGGGAATAGAAAGCTTTATGGAGATATAGTAGGAAGAAAAGCTGCTTAATGGGGCACACTACAGCAAACATTATTGATCAATTTTGTTTTACTTGTAAGAATGATTGAATGGGCAAGTAATTGAGATGTCATTTTGTAGCTTGAACATTTTATTTTCCAGAATGTGTGCTTTCTCTGAGAGAATTTATTTGAGAGAAAATAAAGAACTAAAGATGATGATGTATTGAACAGAAAAACATACTATTTGACAAAAAGATTTGTCTGGGTCACCTTCTTGATTTCATGGCACCATTTTGTATTATCAGTAGTAAAATTCTGCCTGCTCAAAGACTAAAACAAAGATTCTCTTCTAGTATTTCCAATATTCTCTTCTTCCTAAATGTTTTACTACATCAAATCACTTGCTTCTGTCTCTCCTAGTGCCTTTGTAATTGCTTCCTCAAAACTTTTCATAACGAAAAGATCTAGTGAATTTATTTTTATTGAGGTGCAAATAAGTGATATGTATTACTTAAAGTGTGGGCATTCATTTCCTAAACCTATTCACAAATATATATGCCACCATCCCCAAATGGCTACACATTTTAAGAGAGAACAATAAAGATGTTAAAATAATTATGTTTGACACCAGGGAATGTGGAGCAAGGAGAAAATGCCCCTCTAACTCTGGAAACACTGGGTGAGTGGAGATGTACTGTTTCTGCTGAAAAAAAAATTATGCTAGAATGACCTAATGCATATACGAACATAACCAGCCTGTTTCTTTCTGCAAGCTTTTAAAATTCCAACAACTTTATCTTTGTGTACAATATGGAAATAATTATTAGAAACACAGAAGAAAAAATAAATATTGAAACCATGTCTAACTTTTTAGATTGAGGCCAAATAGGCCATCAGTATGATTGTTGGTTTAAAGGAATCCTCACTTCATAAATATCCCCCTCCCTTTACCAAATCTGCTTATTTTTCTTTCTGCTCACTCCTAAAACTACCATCAGCAGTATGTGTCCTGAGGTAACGCTGGGCATCAATTTTGTCCTATAAGTTAGCACAGCATTGCTAGAGAGAGAGGGCTTCCCTGCCATAAAATTTCAAAGGATTGAAAGAGCTTTCCTGGATGCAGTTCCTCTCCAGACTGGACTTCCTTGGGGACTTATGTATTATTCTTTAAGCAAAAGCAAGCAACTTCAATTTGCAGAAAGAAGGGATTGAAACTATTCTTATAGAAAATAAGAATATCTGAAATTCTTTGAGGTTGGAGCAGAGATTTGTGTAAGAAGCATTGGAAAAAATAAGGAGAGGAAGAGTACACCTTAGGGAGGTTTGAATATCAATTTGAAGGTTTTAGTTTTATCTTATAAGCAATGGAAATCTCTTGATATGAGTCATGACATAGGTACACAAGCTGGTTTGAAACAGGTCGACACTAAGAAGAACCATATAATTCAGTATGGAAGCTGGTGTTGAAGCCCAAGAATGGAATAAGGACAGCTTCAATTTTAATAAGATGGGATCAGGGGAAGTCAGAAGTGTAGCAATGAGACTGGAAAATGAAGAGTAAATTAGATAAACATTTACTGAAAAACGACTGAGAGGATAGAAGGAAATAGCTATTACAGAATAAAAAATTAACATTCAAAGTAGCCATGGTATAAGACTTGTATTTCAATTTCTTATGATATCCATGATAACACTGAGGTTCAGAAAGTCTAAACAATTTACCTGGGAAACAGCACAGCAATTTCAGGTAGGTTTTCTAACTTTTAGTTAATAATTTCTATGTTTTAAAAACCACAAAGAAATTTAATCCTAGAATAGTAGAAATAGAAAATCACTTTTAGATGAAATGAGGTCATTCAAGGATATTGTTATTACATTTACATGGGTCTATTTCAATGTCAAAAATATTTAAGTGGAAATTGCCTTCAAGCAGATAGACATAAGAGATTAAAACTCAGAAGAGAGATTAGCAATAAGAATATGTAATTGAGTTTAATTTAAATGGGTTTTGGATTCCAAGTCTCAAAATATTCTTACTGGCATTTTGGAAAATATGGACTTGATCCTCATAATGTAACAAGAGAATAGAGGAAAATTGGCTGGCATGCGCATGCCCTGCTTACAACTTGCGTTCCTGTTACTCAGTAAACAGAGCTCATATTGTAAAAACAACTTAAAACGCTGCAACTCAAAGTGGACAAGAACCTAGGAATTAAATCAGAGACACTGCATCTATTAGAAGAAAAAGTAGGCCCAAATCTCCATCACGTGGGATTAGGCCCCAGCATTCTCAATAAGACTCCTATAGCACAAGAATTAATACAAGAATCAATAAATGGAGTGGATTCAAACTAAAAAGCTTCTTCTCAGCAAAAGCAACAATCAGTGAGGTGAACAGAGAACCTACTAATTGGGAACAAATTCTTACCACACACATGTCAAATAGAGCACTAATTTCTAGAATATATAAAGAACTAAAAAATCTTAACACCAAAAAAACACAAATAACCCAATCAACAAATGGGCCAAGGAACTGAACAGACACTTCTTAGAAGAGGATAGGCACTCAGTAAATAAATAAATGAAAAAGTGTTCAACATCTCTAGCAATTAGAGAAATGTAAATCAAAACTAAGATTCTTCTCACTTCAGTCAGAATGGCAGCTATTAAGAATACAAACAATAATAAGTGTCGGTGAGGATGTGGGGGAAAAGGCACACTCATACATTGCTGATGGGACTGAAAATTGATGCAGCCAATATGGATAGCAGTATGAAGAATCCTTGGAAAACTGGGAATGGAACCACCATTAGACACAGCTATCCCACTCTTTGGTCTATACACAAAGGACTTAAAAACAGCCTACTCCAGGGACACAGCCATATCAGTGTTATAGCAGCACAATTCACAATAGCTAAACTGAGGAAACAACATAAATTCCCTTCAGTAGATGAATGAATAAAGAAAATGTGCTATATATACACAATGGAATATTATTCAGCATTAAAAGAAAATAAAATCATTCCATTTTATTTTATGGAGTTGGAGAATATAATGCTAAGTGAAATTAGTCCCAAAAAAACAAATGCCGAATGATTTCTCTGATTTAAGGATGCTGATCCATAATATGCTGTGGTGGGAGGATTAAGTGAACTCTAGGTAGGGCAAGGGGGAAAAGGGGAGGGAGGGAAAGGAAGGGGGCATAGGGGTAAGAAAGATGGTGGAATGTGATGGTCATCATTACCCTAAGTAGATGTAAGAAGACACAAAGGATGTGACTCTACTTTGTGTACAACCAGAGATCTGAAAAATCATGCTC